AATTATATATGCGCCATGTTCTTTTCCAAGTTAATTAATGACATTATTAACAAGCATAAAAAAACACAAAACATAATAAGAATTACACTAGTGACTAAAGAAAAAGAATGGGCAATGATTTACTTTGATCTAAACGAACTTTATTAATTTCTAGTTAAATATATAAAAGGAGCTTCAACTTTATTTCCAAAATCCTTCTAAATACAAAATTACCTGATCTAGATCTGCCAATTAAATTTTAAGATGCTCCTCCATACTTTCGTGGAAGCGGTCATTAATACTTGTATTATAGTAGACTGTTTATATTATACTCTTTAGGGTGCGGGTATTTTCCGAGCCCTGCGTGAATTCAGAATACTTTATGCATCGAACTGTCCTTTAAATTCGGTGTTCAATATCCGTTCTAGAGCCCGAGTAATTTGAATTCGCGTGTAAGCTCTCTCAAAGGAAGAAACACTCCCATTTAGAAAATTTCAATTTCTAAGACCTAAACCCGAAGAGCGGATATAAGAATTTTTTTCCTTTTTTTCGAAAAATTTGCATTTTTTTTCGAAATCAGTATGGCAATAAAATTTTGCAATTTTTACTTGAAGATAAATTTTAGAATTTTTCAAAATCCAAAAAACTATTTTTCCAAATTTTCATTCAGATCAAACACAAATTCAAAAACAACCCGAAATTATATTTATGTCCAAACACAACTCTAATTTTTAAATATCATTTTCATTTGTTAATTTGTTTTAAAAAAATTTACTATTCTTATGTCCAAACGCCCACTCAATTTCTAAGACCTAAACCCGAAATCACTAACTAAGAGCCAGAGATACTATCCATCTCACCACAAACCTTATCGATATGAACCAAAACTGCAATTGTGTTCCAGTCTAGGAGACACCTTCCGCACGAGATGCTTATGCCTTTACTGTGCATCTTATCCAATTACTCATAGAATTTACCATAGTACCCTTAGTTGAAGAAAATGTCTTTTGGAGGTACATTCAAAATGATCCTTTAAATATATTTGTGAGTTATCCTTTAAATTTATCAAAAATGAGTATTTTCATTTCAGTTGAATATTTAATGAATTTTGATTATTAGATTTACAAAAATTATAAAAGATTAATATAAAATAGCATTTTGAGGTGCAATTTTGCTACATCTAGTGCTTGGTGCAACTTTTTTAGGTACAATTTCTAGTACATATTTTTTTTCTATTTCTGGTGTCTGTTGCAGTTTTTGATGTTTCGATTTCGAGAATTTGACGGGACTTTTCTACTGTATCTGGTTAAATCTTTTTTCCCGCATAGTTTTCCTAAATTTAACAATTAGAGTTTCTTAAATATTTAAAAGAAACAAAAAATGCTTATTTTTGGTAAAACTAGAAGACCAAAACTACACAAGAATATATTAAAATGGATCATTTCGACTCTACTACCGGATATTTTTTGTCATATAAATTATGTTATTTTTGATTGACAGAGTTACTCGATATCTGTACTGATAGGAAATAACAAATACCTTTAAAATTTATTGAGTTACATACAAACTGACTCGAATTTTACGATTATAAAAAAAAATGAAACACAAGAAATATTATAGTTTTTCTTATTTTGCTTCCTAAGTAATACGCATTAACTAAATGAGAGAAAGAAAAGAGTACAAATTTTAGTGAGAATTATACGAAATAAACCAAAATACCCAAGTAACGTTTAAACAAAAAACGGCAAGTAGGACTTTTTCGTCATTTTAATAAATATATATACCACCGGTCAACTGTCCAACACACGAACTACGAAACAACGAATGCACCTTCCCATACTTTGGTTTTGTCGTAAACGTTCTTCAAAAGACACCCCCACCCCCCACCCCC